ACCCAGCACTCTGGGAGGCCTGGGTGGGAGAAGAGGGTCGGGGTGGGGGCTCCCACGTGTAACCCAGCACTCTGGGAGGCCTGGGTGGGAGAAGAAGGTCAGGGTGGGGACTCCCACGTGTAACCCAAGACTCTGGGAGGCCTGGGCAGGAGAGTCAGTTGAGCTCAGGAGCCAGAGACCAGCCTGAGCAAGAGCAAGACCCCATCTCTACTAAAAAAAAAAAAAAGAAAGAAAAATAACTACATGGATCTTGTGGTAGAAGCCTGTAGTCCCAGCTACTTGGGAGGCTGAGGCAGGAGGGTCATTTAAGCCCAGGATTTTGAGGTTGCTGTGAGCAAGGCTGAGGCCATGGCACTCTAGCCTAGGTAAAAGAGTGACACCCCACATCTAAAAAATTAAAAAAACCTGGAGAAATAAGGTTTGGTTTTGTTTTTTTAGGCTAGTCAAGTGAAGCAGTGAGAGTGGAGAAGGAACAAAGGAATCTGTAACTGGTGGAGGAATAGGGTTTCTGAAGGAAGGTTCCAGAAATGGCACTCTGCAGCCCAAAGCTGTGGCGCTCTAGCACTAACAAGTGTAATCTACAGCACGAGTGGTTGAAGGTGTGAGCAAGATGACCTTGGGGTTTATCCTGGCTTGTCATTTGGCGTCTGGGGCACCCACTTACCTTCACTACACCTCAAGGACCTTGTCTATGCCTACTCTGCAGAGTCTTTGTGAGAATCAGAGGCAATGGCATATATAAAATCCACTAGTCTTGGCGTATAGTGCATACTCAGTAAGAGTCAGCTGATGTTACTGCTACTATTGTTATTTTGTGAAATATATGTGACATGTTTCTCTTCAGAGCAAGGGTACTTGCAGTTGGTGGTGACAGCAGGGTCTCACGCTGATGGGCAGTGCAGGCATGGATCCTGGAGGCCTTGTGTGGGCCTGGGGTTTGTGTTGTAACCAGTGCCAGACCACACTCACAGCATAGAGGATTTGGATCGTCTATGAGATCCAAATTTACAATAGATGGATTGGTTATGTGTCCTGCTGATGTTGTGTGTAAGCCTGCATAACCAAGGAGGGTTGCTTATTCTTTAATAACATTTATTAGGACTTATTATAGTACAGAAAAGAATAAAGGGCTCGGCGCCTGTGGCTCAAGTGGCTAAGGCACCAGCCACGTACACCCAAGGTGGCAGGTTCAAATCCAGCCTGGGCCCACCAAACAACAATGATGGCTGCAATCAAAAAATAGCCGGGTGTTGTGGTGGGCGCCTGTGGTCCCAGCTACTTAGAAGGCTGAGGCAAGAGAATCACTTAAGCCCAAGAGTTTGAGGTTGCTGTGAGCTGCCTAGGGCAACAGCTTGAGACTCTGTCTCTAAATAAATAAATAAATACATAAATAAAAATAAATACAAATTCTTTGAAAATAATTTTCTTCGCTCAAAGGGGAAAAATGAATCAATCATTTGAGATATTACTTTAAGATATTTTGGTTTTTGTGATTTAAATCTATTAGCAGTTTGAGGTATCTCTCTGCCTACAGTGAACTAGGGATAGTGGTAACTGCTCTGTACCACATACTTCCTGCTGTGGGATGCAGTACCCTGTGCGGGGGGTGGGTGGTGACCGCTCATTTCACAGGTGAAGACATGGGCTCCAGAGGTTGAGACCAGGCAGCTGCTAAGTGGCAGAGCCAAGGCTGGAATCCATGTCTGCCTGATTCCCAAACTGAGGACTCCTAATAGGGGAAATTTTCAGTTGTTGAAATTCTTTTTTTTTTTGAGACAGAGTTTTACTATGTCACCCTTGGTAGAGTGCCATGGCATCACAGCTCACAGCAACCCTGAACTCTTGGGCTTAAGCGATTCTCTTGCCTCAGCCTCCCAAGTAGCTGGGACTACAGGTGCCCACCACAACGCCCGGCTATTTTTTGGTTACAGTTGTCATTGTTGTTTGGCAGGCCCAGGCTGGGTTTGAACCCACCAGCTCTGGTGTATGTGGCTGGTGCCCTAGCCACTGAGCTACAGGTGCTGAGCCCAGTTGTTGAAATTCTTAAAAATATATTAATGATAGGAGAAATCGAGCCAAGCTCATTAAAGGTTCACAAATACTTAGCTTGTTTAAGGACTTTCCTTGCTGTGGGCTGCAGTCACTGCAGGGTTTTCAGATCTGCATAGCTACGCAAAGCAGTTCATTTTATATTGTCATCATACAAACGTCTGTTGAGATGAATTCTGTAGAAGTCTTGTCCTGCCCTCTGACAGCTAAAGCCTGTGGCTGCGCAGGCCTCACAGGGTGGTCTTGTTTCCTGTCATTCTGGCTGTGGCTCTTCCCCACAGAGACAGCTGCAGTTATTTCTGCTGGGTACTCAGGAATCAAGGTGTCAGCCTCTGAATAATTGAGCATTTTGTTACTGTTTCTTTCCTTGTAGAGACTTAAAGCCTGAGAATATTCTCCTCGATGATCGTGGTAAGTACGAGCCTTTGACGTCTAATGCATAGACTGTTAGAGGGACTTGGAGACAGAAAGTTAACGTGGACTTAGCCAGTTAATACAGAATAGAAACAACAACAAAAAGAGAAACTCTTCGGTATGTGTTCTTTAAAAAGTAAAATAGAGATACCATGGTCATTCCCCCATATGTAGGCAAGAAGCAGAGATGGTCTAATCTTCAGTTAAGGTTGAGTTGTAGAGTGTATTAAAGTAAACTCAAAGCTAGAACTTTCCCCTCTCCTCTTCCTGGCAGTTGACCCTTGTCTGGCTTTATTCCTTTGGTTTTATCTCCATGCCCCCTAAACATTGTCATGCTGCCCTTGGTACTATCTGCTTGTCACAGAGCATGTGTCACAGAGCAGGGCCCCAGATGTCTGCTTAGGGACCCTGTGGCTGTGGGTGGGGACTGGCCCTGTTGGGCCAACAGCATGGGTGCCCACTTAGCTGTGGTGTCCCAGGGTGACAGTCCTGCCTGAAACGCAGTCAAGGGCACTACTGTGGGATAGCTGGCTATGCTCTCCCAGATCCCACAGTAGTTTGGAGGGGGCTTCTCTCAGCAATTCTTCCTGGCTAGGAAGGGTCTTATGCACCGTGGAGAGGCTGAGATACAGCCAAAGGGGCTTCTGAGAGGGAGAAGAGAACAGGTGTCCTGGCAGAACAGGTGTCCTGAGGGCAGGCACGGAGCACTCTGAATGCCCGGCTTCTGGTACACCTCTGCCCAGCATGCACTGTTTAATTTAATTTGTGCCTGGAACTCCCATCCTGTGAGGGAGGAAAGTACTGGAATTCTCATCTTATGGAAGGTGTTGCCGAGATTTGGGAAGTAAACTTACGCCCAAGCTGTGTCCACAGCTTCTGGCTCTCAGCCTGTGATTCACGTGTGGTGCCTTGCTGCCAACAGAGATGGCATGGAAGTGGCTTAAAAAGGGAAGGACGTGCTCTGAATGGGAGCAGAGCAGTCTCCAAGGTATGCTGTGAACTGGGAAACAGCAGGTGCTGCAGTGTGTGCAGTACACTACCTGGTGTGCAGAAAGAGGGGGTTAGGAATGTACCTTTATGTTTGCTTATATTCAGACAGTGCTGAAAAAAATGTATACACGTTAGACGAAAGCAAAAACCTGTATCAGAACTGTAATGCTCAATATATACCAAAATGGTTTATGCACCAATAACAAAATTTATGGTGTTTACAAGTCCATAGAAGGCCAAGACCTCTCTGTCACTGTATTATTTTGCATGCAGATATTGTTATTGTTTTCTAGAGTTACATTTTCAGTGTATAAGTATAAATAAAAGAATTAAAAACAACTATATAGAGGCCTGGGTGCAGTGGCTCATGCCCATAATACTAGCAGACTGGGAGGCAGAGGAGGGTGGATCGCCTGTGCCCACACGTTTGAGACCAGCCTGAGCTAGAGCGAGACCTCATCTCTAAAAATAGCCGGGCATTGTGGTGGGCGCCTGTAGTCTCAGCTACTTGGGAGGCTGAGGCAAGAGGATCACTTGAGCCCAAGACTTTGAGATTGCTGTCTCCCCCCCAAAAAATCTAGATAGGTATAGAATTAGTACTACCCATGAATGATGCTTATTTTTCCTTATTTTTTTCTCAAAACTTTGGGCAAAATGCATGTTACAAATGGTAAAAGAGGGTATTATCATTAGGTTTATGCCCTTAATTTTGTTTTTAATTTTTTTTTGAGACAGAGTCTTATTATATCACCCTCTGTAGAGTGCTGTGATGTTACAGCTCACAGCAACCTCAAACTCTTGGGCATAAGCAATTCTCTTGTCTCAGCCTCCCGGGTAACTGAGACTACAGGTGCCCACCACAACACCCGGCTATTTTTTTTGCTACAGTTGTTACTGTTGTTTTTTAGCTGGCCCGGGCCAGATTCAAACCTGCCAGCCTGAGTGTATGTGACTGGCACTGTAACCTCTATGCTATGGGCACTGAGCCTGTTTTTAATTTTTAGTGATCCAATTTTTTAAATTTTATGATCATGTGGAACATTTGTGTGGTTCCAAAGAGAAAACTGGAAGAACTGAGCATGTTCAGAGATGTCTAGATTCCATCTCTCTTGACCTACAACTAATCATTTTAGCTCATTTTAAAAATTCTTTCACTTGAATCAGAAAAAACCTCGAATAGCCAAGACATTACTCAGGAATAAAAACAAAGCAGGAGGAATCACGCTACCAGACCTCAGACTATACTACA